GGCCTCAGCTCAAGGAGTACATCAGCTTAGTAGGGGAAAAGGGAATAAGTTGACAGTATCGAAATCAAAATGCATGAGCATCAGCTCAGGGAGGACATTAGCTCAGTGAGCTGATACCCCCTAAGCTAAGGCCTGTCTAGTTTATCTACTAATGAGGTAAGTAATTTTCTTTTCTTTTATTTATTTACCGGTCCTTAAAATGACAATGATCTGTGACTCTCCTTTGACCTTATCTTTGATCTTTAGAAGATTTATAACAAATGTATATAGCTCTGACATCTTTGTCATCCAATCTATTCAAGTCAGCATTCAACGTAAATAGACATAGGGCTTTGATAACCTTCTTTAGGATATTAAGTCACCTCATGTAATCCTCAGGCTCGAGATCTGTCAGCCCCATTACCTTCCAGAACTGCTTTACTGTTACTGAATAGTAATTTACCGATGTCATCTTGCTGCTACTGTTCCTTCTACTCCTTCTACTCCTACTACTACTGCTGCTGCTGCTGTAGCTATTGTTCTAGTGACCTCAAGTTAATAAGCTCTGACTGCTCAGTCTCGGGCTTTTATGCCCGAAATCCGCGGTGGTGCATTGAACTAGCGGTGACGGCGCTGTATGCAGGAGTGTAAAAGTTTATTTCTACGCAGTGATATAACGGCGACGGCGCTGCGAGCAGGAGTGGAAGTTCAGAGATCTGGCTATAAAAGGCCGAGCTCAAACAGCCGAGCTCAACGAGCTTCATTCTCAGTCATTAGTAAGGATCTTCTAACAGTGATACCAACAGCAAGAGCTCCAGTAGTAGTAGTAGTAGCTCAAGCAAATCTTCACCTTCCGAGATGAAATACATTGTCGATATGCGGGGCTTCCAAGCTCCAGAAAGCAAATTCATCTTTAAGGAGCTAGCTATTGTTCCGGTTCAGCGCAACAATCTCCCCAAGCTGTACTGCTTCTCACAAGCACCTACACTATTAAATGCTCTACCAGCATTTTTCAAAAACGCCAATAGGTGGTTAGAGATAAAGCAACATTGCATCTCTTGGAAAGAAGGAAATATTCCGTACACGGAGTTGATGATGGTACTGCAATTAACTATGCAGTTTTCTGATAAGTTGTATGTGAAAAGAAGGCAAAAGGTAACATGGTTGAGGCCATATCTGAATGGAATGTATGTAATCACAATGTTAGAGAGGATCGACTAATTAACTAATTGATTCAATGTAATTTATCTTATACGAGGTGTGATCAAAAAGTAAGGTGAATTTTTATTTTGCTCAAAAAATATTTATTTATTCATCAATTTTTATTTTATCTCCTTCAAAGTAATCCCCCTCGGATATAATGCACTTGTGCCAACGCTTTTTCCAATCCTCAAAGCATTTCAAAAAATCATTGTTTGTGATCTTGTTTAGTTCATCCTTCGATGCCGTCTTTATCTCCTCAATCGTGGCAAAACGCCGTCCTTTCATGGGCCTCTTCAGTTTTGGGAACAAGAAGAAGTCACAGGGGGCCAGATCTGGGGAATACGGTGCCTGTGGCATCGTTACTGTGTTGGTTTTAGCCAAAAATTCGCGCACAAGCAACGATGTGTGAGCAGGGGCATTATCATGGTGCAAAAGCCAATTTTTATCTTTCCACAAATTCGGACGTTTCTGGCGGATTGCTTAACGCAAATTGCGCATAACTTGCAGGTAATATTCCTTATTTACTGTTCTACCCTGTGGCAAGAACTCATGATGCACCACGCCCCTGCAGTCAAAGAAAACTGTAAGCAAAACCTTTACATTTGATCGAACTTGGCGTGCTTTTTTTGGTCTTGGTGATCCAGAATGCCTCCACTGGGACGATTGAGTCTTAGTCTCGACGTCATAACCGTATACCCATGTTTCGTCACCTGTTATAACCCTGTTGAGTAAATCTGGATCATCGTTGACGTCATTTAGTAGCTCTTGGGCGATGCTCATGCGACGTTTCTTTTGGTCGAAATTGAGCAATTTCGGAACAAACTTCGCTGACACACGTCTCATGTCTAAAACACTCGTCAAAATTGATTGGCACGAACCAAATGAGATGCTAATATCATCAGCAATTTCTCTAATGGTAATTCGACGATTTCCCAACACTATTTTCTTCACTTCTTCAACATTCTCATCAGTTGTTGATGTGCTGGGGCGTCCAGAACGAGGTTCGTCGTCGGTGTCTTCTCGGCCTTCTTGAAAGAGTTTATACCACTTGTAAACATTTTTTTGGCTTAAAGTAGACTCACCGTATGCCACTTTCAGCATTTCAAGTGTTTTGGAACATTTGATTCCATTTTTCACACAAAATTTAATGCAAACTCTTTGATCCATGTTTTTAGACAGCAGCAAATCGTGGAGCACGCAAAACACTTCTAACCTTGATGCCTCTCACAAACAAACCAAACATACTACAAAGCTGAAATTTGGAACGTATGTTCTAGACGAGCGTACCGACATAACCAAATAAAAAAATCGATAATCGAAAGTACGTTGCCCGTGAAATTTGAAAAGTCACCTTACTTTTTGAACACACCTCGTATTACTAGCCGTTTCGAGATTTTCACTAACTACGTCCAAAATAACGAGAGGTTCATACGTATATCGATTGATCACTATGCTTGCTGACAATAGGTTCAGCAATCGATGAACTGGAAATTGACTGTGTCAAAAGCCTACTTTTGTATTTGTTTAGCAGATGTAAAACGCTTCTAATTATAGATATAGATCGAACGGACGTAGCCCGCTAAATTTCAAAATTCACCTTACTTTTTGATCACACCTCGTACATCAATAGTCGATCTGGAAAGTGACATGGAATATCCAGCTTTAAATAAGCTTCAAAACACTGACGTACCCTTTTGCAGATATCGTAGCACCTGCAAGTGTGGATTTCATTCGGTGTGTGCGATGTGGAATGTGTAAAAATTATTGACGTGGTTGCTGAAAGAGGAGAAGGAGGAGGAAAAAATAATGAAGAATTTCACCGCGAGGATGTAACACGGGCAATGCAATCTTATTGTAGACAGCCGGTTTCACATCCCTATCCCTGAACCTATCAATTCAATGAACGAGACGAAACGGAAACCTAACAAGTTTTCTTTGTAAAAAATATTGGAGGGGTAAAGTTATGGTTGAGCCTCACAGATGGCAGCAAACTTAGGGCTGCCATCAATAAAACACAAAAAGATGAAATAAAAACGACTTAAATAAAATTTTCAAATTACGTGCCTCAAAATAAACCCTGTTTCAAAATTGAATTTCAAATTTCGCACTTAGAATCAATCTTCATTTCAAAATGCGCACCAATCTCAAAATTTTTCTCATGATTCCTCCACTGCGGCTACCTAACCGAGCTCTTTATCTCATGTATGCTGGATTTAAAAACCTTACAATACGAGGGGTATTGTTGAGAAAAAAATCGATATGCCACTACCGCCTATTGCTACTTCTCTTCCTAAATTAATAAATTTCGGGGGAGAGAAGCAAAAGTTGCTTCAAGAACAGTAGTTAATAGATAAAGTAAGTATTTTATTTTTATTCGTTAAAATTTTTTTTTTAATTATCAATTTATTAATTTATTAATATTTTTTTATTTTGTTTGCAGGAGAAATATGTACGTTACGATTTCCTCTGTACGCTGCGTTTAAGCAGTATGTTGAAGAAGTTGGAATGGTCCCAGAAGGAGGACATCGCGCACTACAACAACACTGCTGTAGTGCGTAGGCTGCGCCGCTCGCCACGCGCATCAGGGAGAGGCTCCTGAAAAGAAGAAGTCGGTGGGACACGTACATAAGCATTGTCCCACCGATTCATGTTCCTCTCTCCAACGATCGAAAGATTGAAGATGAGTAGCACATCAAGAGACCTCTCCGTGCTGCTACGATCATCGACCTAGCATTTCAGCAGCTGCAGCCGAAGACGAGGAGGGTGAGTCGGGTGAACGATACAATTAGAGGTTTTTTCCCTTATTTCGATCCTACCAAGGATGAGGAAGGAAACCTCTAACTCTAAATCTCTCTCTCTCACCTCGTTTTGCGGAGAAAGATGATGCCGAAATAATCACCATGAAGGCCTCTCGCCGATATTGACAACCGTCAAACGGAGAGTGTCAAACCATCGTGGTGGTGGTAGTTTTTTATTATTGTATTAATTTCTTTTGTATTAATCGTTTGTGTGCTTCTTTTGTGTTATTTCATGTATTAGTTGTAATCTAGTTTAATTGTTTTTTGTGTTCGTTCTAGGTTAATTTATATTTAATTTTAGTATTTTTGTGATATTTTTTAATAATTTTGTGATATTTTTGCGATTTAAACTTGTTATAGATTTATAAATAAATTTTCAATTACTAATAATATTCTTTCCTTTTTCTCATTTGAACACCGTTAAAAAGTGGTGGCAGTTCTGTAACGCTGTTAAAAAGATATAACGGTTTTGAAACACAAAAATTGTGCTTTATGAGGCAATAACTGTTCCAGAACCGCCATAGCTTATCTACTTAATCAAATAAATAAAAATCATTTAATTTTCTCTTACAATATTTTTAACAATTTTTAAAAAGTCGATTACGTTTGATTGGAACAGCTTTATAAAGTTAAAATAATATAATACTCAAAAATCACAGCTCCAAATCAAAATTACTTAAATACTTCAAGATTAATTTCAATCATTTTGGTAGATAAAGATGTATGGAAGAAATCCGTTTATTTATGATTGAGAACTTTTTTATTTCAAAATTAACATTCTCTTGATCAGTTATTATCCATCATCAATAGTTGTAAAACGTATCTTTTATATAGTTAATCATCATTTAGCGTGTATATATATATATATATATATATATATATATATATATATATATATTATATACAAATGTTCTTAATATTTTTATAACCATGCATTGGAAAGTGATTTCTTTGCAAGTAATTATTCCATAATATATATATACTGATTTATATGTGATTCTGAATTTTTTACATTTCCAGGTGTAAAATATGTTTTAAAATTAGATGATGATGCATACGTTAATATGAATGCATTATTGAAGTACGCAAAGTATGACATTCCACCTTTTACACCAACTAATTTTATATTTTGTGATGTTATTAAGGGTACAAAGGTAAAAAGATCATGGCGCTCTAAATGGCGGGTTTCTCCGATAGAATATGGTGTCAATTACTATCCACCTTATTGTGCAGGTTGGGCTATTATATATTCAACAGATATAATTGTATCACTGTATCAAACGCTTCAAAACGAGCCTTACTTTTGGATAGATGATGTACATATTACTGGAACATTGGTAAAAAAAAATAATTTTACATTAACTTCAATGGATTCAACAATACTTCGTAAAAAATTGATCGCTGACATCTTGACAAGTAATATGACGTATAATAATATTCTCTTTTATTTGCCGAATCTTACAACACATGAAATTCATTACATTGTAGTAAATGATATTGATATTTCATTTAATAAAATATTCAATATATTTTCTCCTAAATAATTAAGTATAAAACCAAAGTATTGAACAATCATTTAGAAATACAACAATATAACGAATTTAAAAAAAACATTAATTAACAGAGTAAAATGTAATCAAATACTTACATTTCACAATGTAATATATCCAAATATATAGTTACTAGACAGTCCTACGTTCTACACTTGTTTCATTTGAATTTTCTTCTTTCACTCTAGTACAATAAAAATAATCGAGACTATTAATAGATGGATAGCTATATTTAATAATTCAATTTTACCTAGACATAAAATTAATTACGAAATGTAAATTAAGACAATAACTTAAAAATGTTTAATTAATTATTTATCTAGTTATAAAAATAAAATTATTAACGAAAATTTTAATTTAGGTAATGTAACACATTTTCTCATTGGTTCTTACTTATTAAATGTGTCACTCAATCAGAGCATACCTTTTTGGACGTCTTTTGATGATCATGATTTATTTATGTATAGGTTTTAATTCTTAAAGGTCATATTTTGTTAATTTATTCTCGACCTATTTTTTAAAATATAGAAATAGTGATGCGATATATTAACGTATTTTAATGACAAAATTATAAAAATAACGACGTGAAACGATTTTTTTTCTATATTTCCTCTACAATGAATGTGATTTCTGTCATTCCTGAATAAGCAATAAAAGATATAACTGTTTTCAATAAATGTTTCTCTTAGAAATATGTTAATTTTATGAAACTCTTCAACAGTGCTTCTATATGAACAGTGCATTCTGACGGAACCATCTTAAAAAATAATGAAAACTGAAAAACTTATAATTTTCTAAATAAAATAGTTTTTTGTAAAACTTTTTTAAAATATTTTTTGACATAATATGATGCGCATAGTGGCAAACGCTAATGAGCCGTCTGATAAACAGTTTCATCTGACATTGTTAAATGACATGGGACAAGCTGATAAGTTTTATCTTAATGTATCACGAGAGGCCCAATATACAGCAAACTGGCATCAACTCGACAACGACTAAAATTGCAGTCTTGGGAAAAATATGAGCGAACGCTCACGCAGAGAACGCTGAGTTATATTTTGCACTGTTTTACTTAGTTATTGATCGGTATCGTAACTACAAAAAAATAGAGAATGAACTGAAAATAAAAGAAAATTAGGCAATAAATAATAAATTAAACGTGAATACTAGTAGAGAAATTAAAGAGACATGATCAGTGGCAGCATCAGCTTACCACATGATCTGAAGTCTGTTCGTTTATAAATCAGCATTCTCAGATCATGCGTGATCTAAAATCCATGTGTTTTTTAAATCAGAACTCATAACGTAAACTAAAATTTGTGATGGCGCCGTCGAATTTTCTGACCGGCTCTGTTTGTCTCTCTCTATCCTAAGATCCGTGCCACCGGAGCCAGCATTGAGCAGCTGCATGTGTGCACATCTAATGCTTGGACGTTGGTATGGTTCAACAAGTGAGAGAGAGTTAGAAGTGGTAGAGGACGACGATGGCCGCCAGACAAAGCGTGAGAGCCGTCTTATAAACCTAGTATTGACAAGTAAAGGATTAATGTGTTAATCCGCCGTTGTGTTTATTCGCTGCTATGTCGCTCCTTATCTCGAATTCTAATCTGTGCAATAGTGTCTAACGTGGTTTTGCTTGACGCGTTATTGAGTCGTGGGAACGTCTTTTACTTTCCGAATCCTCCAAATAAATATTTTGAGCAGACGGCTACGAGCTATCCAGGCGAGAACGGCCGATTTTCCGTTACAATTATTTAAAAAAATTAATGGACACCACGCAGAGTCGAGCCCGCATCCCATGGATTCACAGCCCGGCATTCTGCCAATTAAGCCACGATTGTTCATGAGTTTTTGAAATTCTTACTGTTTATATTAGATGCACTTAGAGTTTCTTATTCAATTTCGTTAAATTGGGATATGATTCATACAGAGCACGGTGACTTAGAAAGCAAGTTAAATAAAATCGACTATTGATTAAAATCTGAGTGGATCTAAATTATTTCTTCTAAATTATATCTATACGCGATACTATTCGAGCCCACCCGTAGGTAAGATTTTTACCGGCACACGGGCAGATGACGGCTCTTCTTGTTATAGCCACCTGGTCCTAATAGAAGGAATCCAAATCTCGTCTAAGGTTACGAAGCGATTTCCCCAGTTTTTACTACTATAAATATATATACATACACATACATACATACATCTGTATATATATATGAAGGTCATTTGAAAAGTCCGTGCAAAGTCTGAAAGATGGCGCTACTGCTGCATATCGAGGTTATGTTCAGCTAATAGCATATTTTGGAAGGACACAAATCAAATATCAGTCAGATCGATCTATTGTTTTATGCTTAACATTCAATTGAATCAAAGAAATGAAGTGGTTGTAAAAACATGGACGATAAAGAATTTCGTACGTTGATTAACCCATTAAAGCCCACGCTAAGACTGGTTGAGATAGCGACAAACAAACTGTGCTATCTTTTGCATAAGTGAAAAATAAAATATACGTATTTTTTTTTATGTTATTTTCAATTGTTTATAACAAATTATTTAAACAAATTACAAAAAAATTCATAATTATCAAAATCTAAATGCGGGAATCGATTCTGGAGGTGAAATCAAGACGAAAACCTATATAACACTTTTTTGTCAGAATTCAATTTGTTAGTGTAACGTAGGAATAAACAATTGCATGTTGGGGAGAAAAAGTGACCATGTCAAGTCCCAAGCAAAATCTATCTGGAATAGCAAAAAATAAACTGTGCTATCCTTTGCATAAGTGAAAAATAAAATATATATATTTTTTCTTATGTCATTTGCAATTGTTTATAACAAACTATTTAAACAAATTATAAAAAAATTTATAATTTTCAAAATCTGAATGCGGAAATCGATTCTGGGGGTAAAGTTTAGACGAAAACCTATATAACACTTTTCTGTCAGAGGCCAATTAGTTATTGTAATGAAGGAAGAAACATTCGGCCTCCTGAGAGTGTTTCAAAAAATCGTATAAAATGAAGCTAATTATTGTATTTATCCATCAATATTGGCATGAATTATTGTAAATATAATCGGTGGGATTGAATTATTGTTCATTGCCATGTCCTTCTTTATAACTTTTGCAAACAGGCATAGAACATTTCTCACAATACCATTCCGTTCTTGTCCGACATGTTGAAATTCCACATTTCCTAAGACTCCCATGTTTCATCACGTGTTCTTGGGATGAAGTTTCACTCTGTTTCTGTCGTTTGGGGGGACGTTTGGAAGATAACTTGTCAATATAATATTCACAAACTTCTTGAACAATATCTTTGGAACCTTTTCTTTCGTCTGGATGTAACTTATTGTAAATCACTGTAGCGTTTGCTAAGGATGCTTGGATGAGCCGTAATACAAGGCACCATGTCCATTTCTTACTTCGAATTGTAGGCATCAAAGCATTACAGTGTTGATCATGTAGATCGACGCCACCCATGTGTTCATTATACATAGAGAAACAATGAGGAAAAAGAATAGATTTTTTCGATGATTCCTGCCATCTCTGCATTTCAACTTTTGGTTCATTTCCATATTTCGAAGAGAGAATCGATACTGGCTTTGAGTCCATAACTGTAATATAATTCAATTTTGAATTCACTTCATGCATTGAAATAGTGTATCCTCTTTTAGCTTTTTTTGGCATTTCGACTTTCACTTTCACACGATTATGCCGAACAGTTCCTGTCGCCGATAAACCATTTTTTTTCAAATGAATCATAAGATCTGGGTTTGTGAAAAAGTTGTCAAAATAAATATGATACTTTTTCAGTTCTTCTCTCTGTGTTTTTTCTAATAAATTCGAAAGTAACTTTATCACCACTCTAGACCCTAAACCAACGGCAACTAAAGGATTTCGTTCATCGATTCCTGATTTACCAGTGTAAATATCAAGATCATATATATACCCATCAGAAGAACAGATTGCCCATTCTTTTATTCCAAATCTAATGGGTTTATTCCTTATACATTGCTTGATACCAAACCTACCAAAGTATTTTACCATTATCTCATCTATTGATAAATTATAGTCAAAGAAACCAAATTGCATACAATTCTCACGAAACATATCATACAGAGTTCTAACCTTCCAGACTTTATCATTTTGATCAGTTTCTTGAAGTTTATAGAATCGTATGTTCTTTTTTATGGCAACGAAATTATTTCTAGACATAAGTTCCGCAATTACTGGACACTGAAGTATTCGCTTTTTTGACCAGTAATCACGAATACTTTTTCTAGAATTGAAGATAGTAATCATTATGATTGTAATAAATTTTTCTAGATCATCCATACATAAATCAAAATGATTTTCAGAAGTGGCTTCAATGATATGGTTTTTCATTGATTTCGAAAAGAAAACCTCAAACAACTCAAAAGCATTTTTGGATTGCAATGATGAAATAGGTGAAATATTGAAGTTGCTCTCGACATGCGGAGAAATATCATTCAAAGCATCATTTTTCCAACTGTACTTATGATTCGGTTCCAACAATTTCTGAGTACTTGTGTATGTACTTTTAACATGTTCGTAAGAACCTGATGGTAATTCATTTGATAATGTATCTTCATTTGGATCACCGTCCGAATCTCCATCTGAACTTTCATATTCATTAGGAATGAATGCTATATCAATATGTTGACCTTCATCACTATCAGAATCTTCAACTAAATTTGGTAGATCGCTAATTCTCCGTCTCGGCATTATCAGTAACGTTACCAATTTAGAACAAAATAAAAACTAAAAGTTTTCCGAAATTATTATTTCAAAGAATAGATCCAATGTATAAATGTTTTCAACCGTTAGCCCGCCACTCAAACGTGATCTCTAACACGGAAGGATTTACGAAATGAAATAAACTTATCCAATTACAGTATAAGATCTCAAAATTTATCAGTAAAAAATACTGATATGATTCCAGATACCATGTGTGAGAATGAAAACACTTATTTGTCAATAGTTTATTTCTACATAAAGATATCAAATTGAACTCTGACA